CCGTGTCGTGTCGTGTCGCACCGTGTCGTGTCGTGTCGCACCGTGTCGCGACAGCTGCACTGAGCGCGCAGCCGCCGCCGCGGGAGCCGCCGGGTCCCGGCCCCGGGGAGCGCCGTCCGCGCTGCCGGCACGGAGATGGACCAGTCGGTCGCCATCCAGGAGAGCCTGGCGGGGGGCGAGACCTGCCGGATCGTATCCTTTGACGGGCCCCGGTGGCGCGGAGCCGTGCGGGGCGGGGGGGGCCCCTCTCCCTGCTCCCTCCGGTTTGTCGCCGCCGCCCTCTGGCGCTGTCCCCGCTCCCTGCCGCTGTCCTGCCGCTGTCCTGCCGTTCCTTGACCCGCGGCCGCAGGCGGTGCAGGGCCTCCTGTCTGCGGGGGAGAGCGCGGAGAGCCGGCTGCTGGGCCTGGTGGAGCACCGCGGGCAGCACGCGTGGGTACCGGAGCGGGGCGGGCGGGGGGAACATCCGAGAGACGCGGGAGCTCTGGGGGTCCCTCACGAGCCTCGGGAGCCGCCTGAGAACCCCCTCCCATCCCAAGGGCTTTGCACCCGGGGGCAGTCCTGTAGGGCAGCAGTTTGAAGGCATGATGCCTTGATGTTACGGGTGGTCAGTAAGAAACCCCAGGCCCATGAGCTGCTCTGCTCTGCTCTGCCAGTAATGTGAACACGTTATTTAAGTGATGGGGTGAGCAGGTGGGTGGTACGGGTTGAGAAGTTACTTTGGGGTTTGCATGAGGCTGCGCTAGCAGGTGCTGCTGGTGGGATGGGGTCTGTGAGTGCCTGCAGACATGCCAGAACTGAGGAGTCTTTGCCTCCATGTCGGCTCCGTGCTTGCAGGATCTACGTGTACACTCACCGTCGGATGGCCATCACAGCTGAGGATGTCTGGCTGGAGAGAGTAATCCCCATCACAGATGGGTTTGCAGTGGAAGAAGGTACTGACACACTGTGGTGGCTCAGTGGCCACCTCCAAAGAAGAGGATGGAGGGGTTTGGAGTCCATACTTTGTTGTTCTACTTCCTTAAGTTTGGAATCTATTCTGCCTTCACATTTCTTCTTTAGTTTGTAATCTCTGGTGACACTTGTGTCACATGGCATTGCTGGCAGGGCTGTTCAAGGTTCAGAGCACCCGTGTCCCACCAGGCCCCAGCCATGGCCCCTGCCTGGCAGGTTTGCTCTGCTGGCTCTGTTCCTGCCAAGAGTGTTTGGGGCTGGAGGAACTTGCTGAGCTCCCTGACCTCAAAGTATCAGCACAGTCTGCAAATCTGTTGCTTAGCTTTCAACTGAACTTTGTTTTACTTTTGCAGTTGTACTTGACAGTGACCGTCACATCATTGGTGAGTTCTGTGCTTGTTTTTAGTGCCTGTGTTACAGGCACTCTGGGCCCTGTGCCAGCTGCAAACAGTGAGCCAGGACTGGGGGCTCTCGTCCTGGGGGGGCTTGCCAGGGTGGGGATTCATGTCCTGCTCCTCTTGGGGCACTTGCGGTGCTGTTGGCCACGGTTACTTAGTGCTAACAAGCATTGTCAGCCCCATTCAACCAAGGGAATGATTTTTCCAAACGCTTTTAAACTGCTGCTGGAAGATTAATTATTGTCACTGAACGAGCAGAATAAAAATTATTATTAATGGTCGTCTTTATATTTTTAAATGGCATTCTCATGTAAAATGTTGGAAAGGAACATGATAAGGCGTCATGGGGAGATGTTGCTGAAGGCTGCATGCACGTGTGCATCCACCAGTGTAGAGTGGAGAAACGCTCGGTTTCTGAAGTCTTGGCAGCACGACCCACAGGAGCTCTTTCTCCTGATGTCCTCAGGCTCTGACGTGACTGTCCAGATGAGCTCAGCAGAGGACCGGCTGACCGTGCGGCTGCCCTTCGGCTCCCACACGCGCACGTTCCTGCAGGAGCTCAGCAGGTGCAGCCCAGGTACGAGCTCTGCGGGTGCGGCTGGGACGGGGGAGGGTCCGGGGGGGCAGGAATGTTGCGTTTGCTCGTCTCCTCCGTGTGCGGGAGCAGCGTTGGCCTCTCTGTGCCGAACCTCGCTCAGCGCTCACCCCTTCCCCTGACGATTCCCCGCCGTCGGACGGCTCGGCACCGACGGTCGGTGTTTTCCTGCGGGCAGAGGCGGGTGCTCTGTGCCGAGCCGAACGGGCTCCCGGGGGCGGGCCGGGGCGGGCGGGGGCGGGCGCTGGGGCCGGGCCGGGGCCGAGCTAAGGGCCGGCGGTGCCGAGCTGCGGCGATGTCCGCGGGCGGGCGGCCCCGCCGAGGTGAGCGCGGGGACCCGCCGGGGCGGGCGGGGGGGCCGCGCTGCCCCGCCGGCGTCTGTCCGGGGCGGCGGGACGGGGCCGGGGCGGGAGGCGGAGGGGCAGCGCCAGGCTCGGCTCCCGCTGCCCCCGGGGAGTTCATTCCGCCGCGGGCGCGGAGCCGCCGCCGAGGCTCCGGCGGATTCGAGACCCGGTTCCTGTGCCCGGCTCGGCTCCGCCGGTGGGGACGGGCCGCGCCCGGGGCCCTTTCCCGCTTTGCAGAGTGCACGTGTGAGAAGATGCCGAGCTAAAGCAATTCCTGGAAGTCAGTGTGGGATTCAAAACCTGAGTGTTGCCGTGTCTGCTGTGTGCTGTTTCGTTTAGGCTGGGCACCTCTCGCTGCATGAAGACTAATTTAATTCTCCCCTTTGGACGCTAAGCATGGATCCTGCCTTATCCAGGAGATATGATACATTTTCTTGCTGTAAAGCAGTATACTATAATGTCACTGCACATTCTTAACAGGAACGCCTTTATTACTGCTTAAATCTCATTTAACTGCAAATCCTGTCCAACTGAGACCTGCTGTAACCTCTGCACATAGCTCTGCATTTCTGTGCTCAGTTCAGTTATTGAACAAGGTCATTATTCCACTTCAGAGTGCTACCCTCTGGAGATACGTCTGGCTACAGCAATCTGTGGCTAGAGACACTTTTATTTAAAGGAAATAGCCCTTTTCCAAGGCTAATCTCTTTCTTAGGAGAATCCTACCTAAAGCTGATTTCCACCCATGAGGTTAGAATGGAAGGTGTCATATGTGACTGTAATCTTTGGATCACGTAGCAGGTGTGTCAGCAGCAGGCTCACACGTCTTTCCATTCTGCACTAATGCCTTCTGCATGCTGCTGAGTGGCATCATCCCATGTGGGTAATAAGGCCTGGGATTCTGCTCTGTTCCTGGCACAAAAGTAACCATTGTCCACTGAGTTGAAAGTTCAGGTTGGTTCCTGTCACTCTCAAGGGACGTTGCATGGTCATTATGGGGAGAGCTGGCAGAGGTTCAGGGAGCACTGACTGAGAGCTCAAGGCCCATGGAGAAAACGCTGTGTCCCAGCTCCCCAGGCCCACACTCCCCAGGGCATCTCCTTGTGCTCCTGGTCAATGCTGCATGACTTGGGCTGTGTGATCTGCAGCGAGGCTTGAGTCATGTGCTCTTCTGCATCAAGCTCTGATAAATCCTCTTACACAGTCTATTCTCAGAGGGTTCTTGGGCAGGAGAGGTTTTTCAGGCTGAGAACTTGGCCACCTCTTGCTGGCTGGTTTATGTCCTGAGAGCCTGGGTGAAGTACTGCAAGTTCTATTTCTGGTTTGCGCTTTTGTCCTGCAGAATGTTCTGTGACAGCAATAACATCTTAAATTTTTCTGGGTTGTGCTTTGAAGGAGAAGCTCAGCTGAATGCCTAGAATCTGACAATCTTAACGATTTCTACATCACCGTTAGATTTGTGTGCTAAGGAGCATGATCTTGAGATTGCTGTTTGTGCATCCTAAACGCAGAGACTCACCCCTAGAATCCTCTTTGTTATTTTGTCACTTGTAGGAGCAGAATGTTGTAACTGAAACAAAACGCTGAAAGACTGGTCAGATTTTGCTAAGGTAGTGTGATGTGGTTCGTGTCACACCTGTGGTGAGTTAGATTTGTGTGGTAGCAGCC